TTAATATAAAAATCATCACAATTGATTAATTAACTACAAAACTATATTTCACAATTTCTCGCTACGGATTAGGCAGCTTCTTTCCAATTCAAGCCTCTAAGGCTCTACCTGATGTTATGGCAGAGAAACACGACGTAATGTTTAACTAGCTCTATCTATATATTTGAAGGGCGAGTGTGTGTAAAAGCTCTCTCTATACGCTATAGCAATTTATAATTATATATTTTTTTATAATATTTTTTTTTGTTACAGTTCACTCTTCTTGTAGCTGTTGCATCTGTACCTATTCAGGCAGATGGACCTAAGTAAGTATTTATAGAATTGGCTTATTATTTACTAATATAAGCTAGCGATATAGCCTTAAGGAATTTTAATGCTGTGCGAACTTTTTTTTAAACGCAATGCGATTATATCTCTCAATGTCATATGCTATAGAAAGTGCATAAATTATAATAAAACATTGTGTATTATTATTATTTCAATATCAAATGTGACGGGGTGTCGGTATTACGACGGGGAAAGCCGACTCGGTCCATTGACACTAGACGGAACAACTTACGAATAGCACGCATGCGAACGCAACGACCATTGCCTTTTACATATTGTTTGTTCCGCATGTATACTTATTATGTAACCGTCCATCACCTTGATGTATGAACATATTTTTGGTAAAACATCACTAATTTTCTTTTGTTACAGAAAAAAAATTCGCATACATCTACCACAGAAAGTGAAGCATATACACCACCATAAAAAAATATACATAACGAACCACCCTGCGTCCTCACAATATGCCCCGGCGTACATGCCGAGCGCTGAGGGCTCAGTGGCGGTGCCGACTAGCGCTTTGCCCGGAATCAACCACATCGTTCCACTTCACGGCATGGACCTGTACGAAGAACATCAGGGTCGAGGGCCGAGTCTCTCAGCCGCCGCTTCACACCTCCTACCTCTGTACCACGCTAGAGGCTACTATGGACCAACACACACTGAAGTCGATGAACAAGAATATGACATATCAGCATCTGAGCCAAATGAAAGCTTCGGGCCATCAGGATATTCAGCCCAACCCGTATCTATTGCGTCAAGTCATCCATCGAACCGAGTAAAAATTATAAAACTAAATGATCCACCGCGAAAGAAAGTAGTTAAGAAAAATAAACCAAAACGAGTTCCTGGACGCCGCAGACCACCACAACCTGGAACCCTTGCGGAAGCGGAACATCCCGTATCCACTTTCCACGAACAATTTTATTCCGATGTAGATGGTTCAGGAACCATCAGAAAACTTAAAAAACCACCACGAGTTGAAAAAATTATCGACGGTGATACTGAACACATTCATACGTACACTGAAGAACATATACATAAATTATTATTTGATCAAAACTCTAAGTATCACAATATTATTGGAGTCGATCCTTTAGCAGGTATGACAGCTATTACAAGACCAACTGCGATCAATCCTTTCAAAGCTGGAGCGGCAATAATTGCTATTCCAACACATCCGTATGGTGGCTTATCTGCACTAGGTACAATGGCCACACCACATTTTGAATACGCCGCCTACAATCCACGTGAAGTCACGCATGATCACATATTCCATGACCATGGGGAAATACCTTCAGGAGTTGATATTACAAAAGAAGCTTTAAGTTTACCCAAAGTGTCGTACAACGGCCAAGGTATGAGGATAGGAAACATTAATACCATAAAAAATAAAATACCTAAGTTCAAGAAGCCGATAAAAGCTCCTTCTTCAGATTTCTCTTACTACGAAGGAATATACGGAGATAACAGATTGAAGAAAAACTTACGGCCATCAGTACCTACATCGGCGTTTGGATCAACTGCTGAAGAAAATAACTTTAAGCAACTGTCTGATTACGGAATAAAAAAAGCTAATGCCAAACAAAGGAATTTGATATCATCTTTTTTTGGCAAATCAGCAACGGATTTTAGAATGCAACCATCAAGCATTTCTTCACCGTACAGTGTTTCATCTACAGTCGTACACGACTATAAGCCCAATAATTTTGGAAGCATGGCGACTAAATCAGCAAATCTAAATAAATACAAAGACGCATTAGCAAATTTTAAAGAAAATTATGCGAACAACTTTGAATATGATACATTTGGCTCTTCGTCGTCAAATTTTTATACATCTGAAGATAAGAATGATAGCGGCAGTCTTACTTTAACACCACAAAAGGATAGAAAGAAATCAATATCTAAACAGAATGTTAAATTTGGAGGAAAAGATCATGTTACATATGTTGACCATTTAGGAAACGATCCGGCAATAAATGACGATACACCCACCGCTTTGGATAATCTCGATATATTTGACCAGACTCAATCAACAAATTTAGTCACTCCCACAGATGTATCATTCAAATCTCCATCATCAATACAAGATTTTATTTCTATGTTAAGCTCTAAATCATTAAAAGGAGAGTCTATCACTTTACCAGAGGCTTCAAATGACAACTTTCAGTATGTAGAAGCCCCAAAATCTAGTACACCTCACACAACATCTGTAACGACTCCACCATCCTCTACGAATCATCAAAGTATGGAACAATCATCGGACTCGAGGGAAAGCAAGAGATTACGTGAAGCAAACAAAAATTCTAATGAAAATTTAAGTGTAATGTCAGGTAATGATTTTAGAAAAGGATCTCAGAGCTTAGCAGACCATCAGCGCTCGTACAGTGATCCCAATAGCCCAACAACGGTAAGGGGGAAACTTAAATATGGTGACAAAATCTAGTGAAATTGGACTATTAAATTATTATTAGCTTTAAAATAGGTATATTGTATAAATTCGTGATCTTAGCCCTTATTATTGTTGCCTAAATCCAAAGTCTATTGTGATAATTTCATGAAACGATACGAGTTAGCTAAGATAACTTATTTATTGAGTAAAATACTCCTCCTGTAAATATAAAGCATAACAGAATTCATGCATTTTAAACGAATTCTTAGAAGTTGTAAGTAAATTTTAAAATTGGAATCTGGATTTTATTTAACGCCTGCCAAAAAACTTCAAGACATTTGCATCTTTTAGGTGCACTAAAACGTTGTTTATTTACAGATATTTATATTTTTTGTACGTGTTATTACCTTTTAACTATTAACATTTGAACAAAAGTGACCCTTTTAGGATTACACACCCAAAACATTGACGCTAAGAGAATGCGCTGCAATTACATATGGCAAATGACTCGCAAGTCGTCCACGAGTTCACGATTTCTACGTGGTCGCGGTTGATGTAAAAAATGTTTCGGACTTGATAAGTTAATACAGTGTTACGTTCTCATCAAAATTATTTTACGGCGAGGAGACAAAAGATACTATTAAACGTTGTAATATATTTATGAATAAAGAAGGTATTTTTAAACTTATTAAACATTAAATAAAATATATATATAACCATACGAATTTATGGCGATACTGGTCCACTTAATTTACTGTTACGTGCATAATTTTATTTAAAACCTAGTAACCCTAACATTTGCCTTTATTGTACCAATTTCTATAAACTGTGTATTTCTGTATGACTGTTTTAACTTTCTGCAATAGCATAACCCGTTTACGAGCTTCCGGGAGTTAAACTTTACTGTACAAGAAGCTTAAAGCCTTCACTTCGACGTTACATAACCGGCCAAGTAAGTTCATGGTACTTACATTATGTAACGAGTCGTTATATGTAATTGTTACTCTCTTATACAATTTAGGTTGGGTCAAACGGCTATTTAACTGATTTGCACGATATTTAATTTTCTGTTAGTGTTCGTTAGTTTCTATAAAGTATTGTTACATATCCTTGATTCGTCAATAATAGAATAAGTATAATATGAGCCTCTACTTTAACATTTTGTATATGTCACAGGGACATTAAACTGATATCAAGAACCTTGTATCGAGCCGATAGACATATCAGTATATGTACAGCGAAACATTTGAGTACTAGAACGTAATTGCACATTGCAACTGGCCATCTCATTTCCTCACTTTCACATAATTACATAAAACGATGAGGCATCATTACATAATTTTTTTTTCTCACGCAGTGTGCTCATTTCGTGTAGGTACTTATATTAATTAATTTTTCACGCCGGCTTAACCTACTAAATAGTCTTTATATTAATATAATTGGCCATCCTATCACCACCAAGTATAACCAATAATTTCGCTTCTTGTGTTCTTTGTGATTTTTAAACAATCTAATATATAAAATTCTCGTGTCACGGTGTTTGTAATTTAACTCCTCTGAAATGGCTCGACCGATTTTCGTGGAATGTTGTGTGCATATCGGTTAGGTCTGCGAATCGGACAACATTTATTTTTCATCCCCCTATTTTTTAAGGGTGGTCCACCCCTAAATTTTATTTTTAGACACAAATTTTTGTTCTTATGATACAGCATACAAAAATACATACAACCCTAAATTTTCACCCCTCTACGATCAACCCCTTTTTTTATTTGTAATAAATATGAATTACAAAATATAGTACTAAGTGCAACACTCGCCTGGACTGCGAGTGTTTTTTATTATTTATTCCATAAACTCTGAGGATAAAAATTGGAAAAAAAATATTTAGTTTTATTTAGTACTTAGGTTTTTATTCCGGAAAAGCGAACAGTCTCTATGGGGCATAGAAAATTGTGTCATATAGCTACTAAAAAAGGGGCCTAAGTAAAAATATCATATTAGGGGAAACGAAGTTCGCGGGGGCAGCTAGTAATTTTATATAAATTCGCCAAATGTCATACTCGAATTCGCTTAGCAAAGCACAACAAAATTGTTAGTGTAGAAAATAAAACGAAATTGATAAAGAAAATATTTTACTTCAAAACATAAACACAACAATAACTTAATATAAAATTATTTACACTATATATTATAACTATATATTATATAATAAATTGTATTTTAATACTGGTTCGACCTCACCGCGTGATGGAGCTATGACTTAGTTGAAATGCGGTGGAGTTTATTTCTTATGGTACGGACCACCACCGTGTCCTGCGCTTATCGCGTTTGTGTAGCTGTCCCCAAAACTGCTTGATCCATGACCACCCCCACCCACACTGTAACTATCGCCATGCCCTCCAAGTCCTCCATGACCTCCACCTACGCTGTAACTGTCGCCACCATGGCCCCCAGAATAACTGTCGTGGCCCCCAAAGTCACCGAGTCCTCCAGAACCGTGGCTGGATAGAGCGAGGGTGTAACTGTCCTGGCTGCCATGACCTCCTGAATGTCCACCACTGTGGGCATCGTGTCCATGTCCGATCTCTAAGCCGCCGTGATCGCCCCCAAATCCCCCACCGTGCCCGGCGCCACCGCCATAACCACCTTGTCCGCCAAAGCCTCCATGACCATGGCCAGAGCCTCCGAATCCTCCATGACCTCCGATATCATTTCCACCTCCGTATCCACCTATGTCATGACTGCTACCAAACCCACCTCCGTGACCACCTCCTAAACCACCACTATGGCCTCCAATATCTAATCCACCATGGCCGCCTAAGTCATGTCCACCTCCAAATCCACCCCCATGCCCTCCAATATCATGGCCACCTCCAAATCCGCCCCCATGCCCTCCGATATCATGGCCACCTCCAAATCCACCCCCATGTCCTCCGATATCATGGCCACCTCCAAATCCACCCCCGTGTCCTCCGATATCATGGCCACCTCCAAATCCACCCCCATGGCCTCCGATGTCATAGCCGCCACCGAATCCACCCCCATGCCCTCCGATGTCATGGCCACCGCTAAATCCACCCCCATGGCTTCCTGAGTCATGTCCACCACCGAATCCACCCCCATGCCCTCCGATGTCATGTCCGCCGCTAAATCCACCCCCATGGCTTCCTGAGTCATGTCCACCTCCAAATCCACCACCATGACCTCCTAGGTCATGTCCGCCGCCAAATCCACCTCCATGACCTCCTAAATCATGTCCACCTCCAAATCCACCTCCATGACCTCCTAAGTCATGTCCGCCGCCAAATCCACCTCCGTGACCACCAATGTCATGTCCACCGCCATGACCACCTATGTCATGTCCACCGCCATGCCCTCCAACATCGTGACCACCTCCGAATCCACCGCCATGACCCCCTCCATGACCACCAAGATCATATCCATGGCCAGCATCACCGCCAAATCCACCGCCGAAACCACCACCAAATCCCCCATGATCGTGCTCCCCTTTCAGGTGGTCAGCAAAGCCTCCGTGTAGATGTTCGGCAAATCCACCGCCTCCACCGTACCCTCCATGGCCGTGGTCATCGTGATGCTCCGTTGAATGATGATCATCGGGTATGTGTACCCTGATATGGACGCTGCAAAAAATAAATTCTAAATAAAATGGCTTCAAAACAAGTAAAGTGACAAACACATATTTCCATTGACATAGAGCTATCTTTCCATAACAAAACGCGATAGAACGTTCTACGTGACTTATTAACCATGAATGCCAATTATCACAAAAATGCATCGCGGAAGTATCAATTTAAAGAAAAACCCTGAGAAATTAAAACAATAGGACGAAGCAAGGCCAGACGTAGAACCCAGTGAAATCGTAATGGCTGTTTACAATAGAATTTCACTACGACAACTCGTGGGAACCGCAAAAGAAATTCAAATTACACTGACTAGAGACATTTGCGGTTAAACGTATGCAATTGATATATTAACTGACATTGAACTTATTCGCAACCACGAAACAAAAAAACAATTACGAAAGTATTTATAGAAACGTTATCATTTCGCGTTATAATGATAACTTGGGAATATGCCAACCCTAGGTGAAAATAAACTAAAGCTTTCTACGGTCTAATCGATGAATGTAGAAACTAAACGACCTGAGGCAATATTATACCACTCTGTAAAGTATTATAGAACTTATTATTCTTCTTAGGAAATGTTTAATTCATCGTAAACTTTTAATATTGAATGTTTTCAATATTTATAAAATAAATAGTCGTAACGTAGCCTTTAAATTGTAATTTATAAAGTAATCTATCTATCTAATAAGCCCACCATTCTTTCGAATATTTCGATAGATTCAGAGGTATTTTAAAATATTTCAAAGCTTAAAGTATGGAGGCATTACTCACTGTTCGTGTCCGCCAAATGTCGCCGCGGTGAGGCCAATAGACGCCAGTAAAAAGGCAAACTGAAACAAAAATGTAAGATTGTATACAGCATAAACAATGGTTTAGTAAACCTAATGAGGTTAGTTATCGATAAGCCAAATTTAAATTATTGCAAATTACGGTGACTGTTAAATTAGAGTCAAGAATAGTAGTTTCATGAGATCTCTTTATATGATAAAAGCAGGTCAAGCGATAAAACTACTGTTAAACATGCTATAGGTATTCATTTTTTGTCCATTCTAATAAAAAAATATAAAAATAAATCTTTAATTAAGATTTATAATTTTATCTGTTTCTTAGCTTAAACTATCAAATGAAAAGGAAAGCGGTCAGTTCTACTTGCAAGATAGTTGTCGGAATTATGTAAGTGCATTCAAGATTACAATCTAAAACAACATAACAACTATATAATAGGTTACTTGACATACATATAACATAACACTTACTATACTTTTGACTTAAAATTACGCTGATAAAAAGACTATTGACGCATGTTTTAAAATAGAAATATGGATAACGGCGATTCAATTCTACATTCCAATTATCTCTATTATACCCATTACGGTGTAATTCAGCTAGGGAATTTAATGTACAACAATATATAAACTGTTAATTAATTAAAGATTATTTTTTTAATTATTAGTATTTTTCTCGCTTGAAACATCGGTCCCAAATGACGGTTGTGAAACCTACAAGGCAGACGACGGATATTACATGGAACTCTATTATTTATTGCCAATGGGAAACTCATCGCTTAAGGCTATGTGACAAGTCAAGCTTAGCCGTCATAATATAGTTAACTACCTGATTTGGGGTATCGTTGCCTTGGACTTGGGGCTATCGGTAAATCAAGTAATTAATTTAATTCAAGTACTAATTTTTATAACGAATACTATATTTTAAATAACGTTTTAATACAATATTCATTATGATATTTGAACACCAATTTATAAAATTCACCAAACTGTGATGTTATCCAGCTTCTACTAGCAGAATACGACCAAGTAGAGTCACTAAGATGTGACAATACATAATATATTTTTCTTTAGCAAATTCATAATTTTTTTTAATTCACTAAAAACACTACAACATATGACATAATTAAGATTAATTTAATTAATTACCAAAGCATGCTTTTAATGTAATAAAATAATACAATAACCAATAATTATGACCGCGACCAAAAAGCCCCGTTTTTAATCTATATAAAGCTTAAAGCTCAGCACATTTCCACAATCACAAGCACTTTCACTGGTCCAGTACTCACGGCGTAGTAGGAAGCCATGCTGAGAGGTTCCTCGCCTGGTAAGATGCACTTTGTAAACAGCAACGAGCTGAGCGCCTTTTATATTACAGTGAATGTACACCCCTCTCGATAAAACAAATCTCTTTGGTTTATAGGAAACGCTTAGAAAATCTTCAAAGGACTTTGCTCTAATTGTAGTCTTTAAATCATTGTACCGCGCTACCTGTTTGTATAAGGTATACAAGCAGGTAATTTTCTTTGGTATTTAATAGAATAAATATAGTTAAAAAAAACTAAAAAACACGCTTTTAAAGCACATCAAACTAAAAAGTGAAAAATAATTCCTAATTTAGGCTGAAAATGGTAATGAACAAAAAATACTGGTATTATTGTGAAAAAGCGTGGTCGCTCGATAGACGAAAAATATGGCACAGAGCCTAAATCATTTTCAACCTAAATTAGGAATTATTTTCCACTTTTTAGTCCTAGCAGCAATACGTGTTGTCTCAATTTAACCGTATTGCTTTGTGGACTTAAAAAAATCATTGTTTTTTCGAGATAAACCTATGAAATTATTATATTGTCGCTGATTCTTTATAAGTGAACAAAGTTCGAATTAAATCTGTCCGTTTAAAGTGGGTCAAAATCGAGTCCGAAGGAGTCGGTTACATACATACATACATACATACATACATAGACCTGTATGTCAAAAATTTAATATTATTTAAATAAGAGAGTCACAGTGCTAAGTCAGTACTCTGAATCGTACTCTTAGGCATAGACTAGAAAACGGATCATAACAAAATGACAAAAATAGTTTGACAATAGTAGTACCTAGTTGTAATATTAGACCAGTGCAGATAGCCTTCAAAATAAATAAAAAAGTGAAAAAAATTACAGTAGGATGAAACCCATTAGAAAAGCAGGTGAATATGATCAAAATGAAAGTAAATAAAAAAATATGTAAATTTGTAAGAGTCTAATATGAAGTCAAAGTCGGTCATACAAAAATATATTTGTCAGTTATATTATGAGATGCACATAAACGGAAATACTCGTCAAAGAAACATTAGAAGGCAGAGTGTATACGTTTGTATAATCAGTTGAATGAAACAGACAGAAAAACTATGTCCATTTTATGTTACCACACTATTGTAAAATTCTTCTTTTCTGATTGTGAACAAATATTGCCTTGTTTTAAAGGAGGCATTTTATGTTTGGTAATACGGTCCATGGATATTCAAACTGCATCTCTTTATTTTCAAGAAGCGTAACCTGTGACTGGAGAACTGCTTCCATCACCTATTGATAAATCCAATTGCCTTGTAAGGGGCATTGTTGAAATTAATCTCTAACACAATACGAATTCGCGTCTTGAATCTTATGAACGTAAAGGTTCTAAGTACCTCCAATACAAATATTGATTTTTTCAAACATATAACCTTAAAAAATATAATATAATAACTAAAATATATTATTAAAAGTCCCTTTAGACAAGGTTCAAAAGATACTGGCAGCGTTCCCCTTTTGAATAGCTAGACTAATTCTTTGTCCGAGGTAGCTGCCAGCTCTTTGGTCTCCTGTGAAGTCGACTAACATTTTTGCTATTTCCTTAAAAATCTTCCTTTTTATTTTAATCATATATATTTAAAACGTTGTACACAGTACATATAGGATAAAGTCGAGAGTTAGGTTGAGGTTCGACATATGGAATCATACTTTCCGTTAATTACTATGGCTATTAAGATAATTGATTTATGGTATTAATGTCGCCAACATCTACCCTCGATGTAATGGTGCGTATAACAGCTCAAATATAACTTTTTATATTCCTATGTATAATGTGACGTCAGCCTTAAAGTAGCAAGAACATTTCCTACATTGAAGATGCATTATATTATATAACATTGGCCTTTCAATAAGTGCTAAGTTTCACGATGACTAGATTATTATGTGAAGTAAATCCAAAGAGATTTGTTTGTCGCATTCTTAATTAGTTATAAAAAGAGTGCCCGAATGAAAATGAACGAATTGTTTCCACTAGGGAATAAATTTTAGTCTTTGGTTTTGTTTAATGCCTGCTGAATTGGTTATTCTTTGTTTCACTACTACGATATAATGAAATAACTATTCCAAAAAAACTTAGTTGTATTTGTTCCACATATATTCTGTTTAACCCTAAAACTCCTTCCTATCTCAAAAAAGATTTTAATTTTTGGGATCCCATAACAATAGGTTACGCTCTTCCGAAAACTATATCCTAGAAATCCCTTCTCATAACTCCTCCTTTCTTGGCGAGTCCTTTAAGGTCTCTGCAGTTAGGCTATGCACTTCCCGTCCCTATTCGCTTAGCTCCCTCTCTATCTTCCTTAAAATTTCCGAACATTACCTGTCCACATCGTATCCCTAACTTTCGTAATACTGAGACTGATCTTAAATTAAATTCTTAAATTAATTATTATGATTCATGTGCAATTTTTTACTTTTATATTTTTTTTTTCATGTATCCTTTATTCGTTTAGTTTGTTTTTTGTTCCTGTTTAGTTTTTTTCTCTTCTTAATAACTATATGTAATATATGGATTTTTGCTCTTCTTGCCTACCTTATGTAATTTAATACATTTCTTTTCTCACACCAGAATAGCTCGCAGATGGTAGATTGTTTCCTACTTACTTGATGTTTAGGACAATCTTTATAAATTCGAGCCTATGTGTTATTATGATGTATAAGCTATATTATTGTAAAGTTTCATTAAAATCCATTCAGTAGCTTTTACGTGAAAGAGTACAAAACATCCATACATACTTACAAACATTCGCGTTTATAATATTAGTAGGATAATTTAAATATAGATGATTATTTTTCCGACCCAAATGTCGACCAATAGAATTGCACCATTCGACGTCACGTGGTACAACCTACATGGTATTAAACTGATAATTTTTTGAAAATTTTCTCTGGTAGTTGCTTTAAGAAAAGTATTAAGTAGTTGTTTTATTCATTATGAAATTCTTATTTGTTAACTGTACATTTCGTCTCATGGTGCAATTCTATTGGCCGACATTTGGGTCGGAAAAATAATCCCCCGAATACCACAAGAGCTTCAAAATTATCGGGTATTTCCCGATAGGTTCGTTGCAAACAAATGAAGGAGTCAAGTTTTTCAGAAAAACTTGACGACTATTATAAGTGACAATTTACTAAAACTAAGCTTATAATCACTAATTTTGAAAATGTTCTTTTACTCTACACATACATTCTCTATATATATATACGTATACATCATTATTAAACATAATTCACAAATTGAAAATGTTAAAGTTGGAGGAGTCGAGATAATTAAATAACCACTTAGCACTTATGAGATGTGTGAACATGTCTTAAAAAGATTTCTGTAGTTTTTGTTGTATAGTTCGTATAGGAATAACTGCAGTGAAGCAATAGATTTACAACCCGAAAAGTGTAAATAGTGCTGCCCTGCGGTTTTCACAGCGGCGGTCGCGCTCAAATCAGTCGTAAAGCAGTCATTTTACGATTTGGCATTCTGATAAACAATAAACTACAAGGAGGGACCTTATCAGAATGCCAAATCATAAAATGTCTGCTTCACGAATGATTTGAGCACGACCGCCGCTGCGAAAACCGCTGTGTGAGTTCGAAAAGTGAGTTACTGAATCGCAGGGCTGAAGTCTGATAGCATACAGGCCTTTAAGTAAACAAAAGAAAGGATTGAAACACCACTGACGAGGGAAAGAGAGAAAACTTTCATAGTATATTTAAAAATGTACAATAAATGCATGTAGAAATTCTTATCAATTTGTTGTTTTTTGTGAGGATGTTTGTTAGTAAATCGGTATTTTTAAGATGCATTATTCATATTTAATTTCTGTTTGAATATATTTTGCTGATAGGTCTTAAAAATAAACTTACTATGGTGTACCAGTGAGATAACTCAGAGCCTTATATTATACTCTTTCCTTGTACTATGTACAAGGAAAGAGTATACCGATTGTTAAAAGGCCGGCGACAGTTGGGAGTCTCCTGGTAGTTTGAGTGTCCAGACATCAGATCAACCTCCCTTTAGCCACTGCTCTATACAAAATATATGTATGACTTCAAAGCCGATATTTTTGTTGCGTTATAAAAACATAATAATTATAAGATTACGTCGGATCCCACATTCTCTTTATTTATTTTGATAGAATCTTTCCGGTTTACGCAATCAAGTCTGAGGCTTTGATCTTTCGTATATATTATTTCTTCACATAAATGATAATCAAATTGTATTTCACCGACATTTGGTCACGGAGCTTAACAAAAAAGGAGGAAAAATGCTTTGAAATAAAATTGAGAAACCTTAAAAAAATTGACTGTTATAAAACTTTGTTTGGTAGTTTTCCGCAAAATTTTCCACTCACCGACTATCTGTGAGTTAAACAAGGTGTGTAACAGGAACCGACACTGGGCAAGTTTCTAAAGCCCACATAACCAGCCTATTCTATTTAATTCAATGTTACATAATGTATACCTAGTTGAATGATTAAATGGGATCAAAAATGCAGGGAACCAAAATGGAAAGGACGTAACGCTTCGCTGATTTTTATGCTTTGAATGACTTTTCGGGTTAAAATGACTTCGAAAATGAGATTTTTAAAAATAATGATTCCGAAAAAGTCATATATAAAATAAATGAAGAGAATGATGAGACGAGAATAGAAATGCTCGGATATGGATCTCAAATTATTTATACGAGTATAATGACGTTTAAAATCGTTTGGATTTATTTAAAGAAATTTTGGGGTATTATAGATGTGCCAAAATTCATAATAAATTTAATATTATGTATTACTGAAATTGTTATGTATGCATATGTTGCACTGTAAAATTTGTATATGTTATAAAATCAAACAAATTGTAAACATAGTTCTTATGGTTAAATACATAATTTAACAATCATATATACAGTATTTACTTATCCGACATAGTAATAATAAAAACAATTATAAATGTATAAAAGAAAATTAAAACAAATTTAAAAAGTTTGGTCCCTGTGGCTGTGTACCTTTAACGCTGGCAGCACTTTCTCGCTGTATTGCGATACTTATTCGTTGAGCGAGGAAAGCACCAGCTCTGGGGTCACCGGTAATACCAGGCGCCAACTTAAATCTTTAATTTGCGCCTTTGCACTTGAACCCCACGGCCCAAGAGTCTAATAATAATAGAATAAGTATAATGTTTATAACTATACATTATACGTTTTTATATAGTGATGTTATATAATTGTATATTTATAGAAAATATTATAATTATATCATATCATGCCTCGTGTTCATATTTCCAAACCTCGCTTGAGTGTCCGGCATTACTATTATCTCAGGTTTGAGAATTGAATTCAGTTTATATTTTTTATTGATTGAATGTTATCTTTATATTGACAATAGTAGTGTGTTTTTATGTATCAACTCTCCTTTAACGACAATCCAATTTAAGGAGAAAGGATAATAAATTAGAACTTCTGAGGGTCAGCAAATGTTATAAATTGCGCGTTACGAAATAAATCATGAAGGCGGTCAATGTAATAAGTGAAGAGTAATTATGGCGAATATGTACTTGTTACATCATCTGAGAACACCGTAAGATGTGCTATAAAAGATAAATGGTAATAATCAAGTATAATTTACGTTGAATTCGCGATAAACGTCTCGGAAATTTCCTCTATTTCGAACTGGTTTGGCCCGCAGCGATTCATTCATTGTGTTAAAATGCACGCGACTTTACCTATACAATTATTATTTACAGTCCTACGTTTTACGAAGAGTATATCTCTCTTCTAAAATATTAAAATTTCATCAATCAAGAAAGCTAATGCAGCAGTGTTGGCCTAGTGGCTTCAGCGTGCGACTCTTATCCCTGAGGTCGTAGGCTCGATCCCCGGCTGTGCACCAATGGACTTTCTTTCTATGTGCGCATTTAACACTCGCTCGAGCGGAAGCGGAATAATCGTAAGGAAACCGGCATGCCTTAGAACTAAAAAGTTGACGGCGTGTGTCAGGCACATAAGGCTGATCAAATACTTTCCCATTATGAATAATATATGTACACAAAACAGCTGCAGAAACCTAAAGCTCATACATAAAAAGACTGTAGTGCCACTAGATTTTTCCTTTTGTGAGCGAGCTGTGAAATCGACTCCCAATGGAGGTCTTCAACGCACTTACTAATGGGTCTCCATGTGCTGCGATAGCTGTTATTATAGGCCCGTAGGTTCGTGTCTTATAAAAATAACTAATAGTAATAAACAGAACAAAACCATAATAACTACATATTAAAGTTAGTACACAAAACCAGGCAGTGAAGTAAATAGTTTTTTTATATGCATTTCCTTTGCATTATATTTTAACCGACGCAGCGATGTATAAAATTAACGAGTCTAAGGCATAACTCCTAAACGATTGTATGGCTATAATTTATGAAGATCTTGTCAAGCATTTCAAGCTATTTTGCTATTTCAGCAGAAATCTTAGACGCATAACAGATATTCACATTGTTTTGAAACACAAGTTTGACCTAACAATTGAATATATGCCAGTAGAGTAGCTATTCTGATGACGGAGGTCAAGGGACGTCGCAGGTTAATATATTTTTTGTAAATATAAACTAATTAAATAAAGCTGCTCACAGCTAACGTCAAGACTTACCGCAAATAATGTGTCTATAGCCGATAAAAAAGAAAAATAACTGATATTGTCACTATACATTGATGATGCCAGTGACAGGAAACAGCTGTAAATTAAAACATTAAAATGATACAAGTTTTTTTAAATTGGAAATATTAAATGAACTTTTTGATCACCGATAAGTGCTCAAAGCACACAATTGTGCCAAATCTATTAGCTGAAATTATCCTTCGAATATTATTCTTAATGGGAGTGATCGCTACTCACACCAGTTGTCAACGTCAACCAATTTGTATAACTCCAGAGGAGCTTATAAGCGACTACAAAAAACCCCGCCGGGATTCCATAGTGCCACCGTGGGTAATGTTATCTATAATAATATATGTACCGCTGGTCATATTATGCCTCCCAATCGTGCTGTTAAGGAACTACGTTGAAAGTATACAGGCTCTCCTCGCGTGGACACTTGCCGTCATAATAAATGCGTTCATCACTGAGGTTCTAAAAATAATCATAAGCCGTCCTAGACCGGACTTTTTCTACCGCTGTTTCCCGAATGGCATAGTCGCGGAATGCACTGGAGGTATTAAGGATATAGTCGATGGCAGGAAATCGTTTCCGAGCGGGCATAGCAGCTTTTCCTTCTGTTCGCTCGGTTTTCTAAGTATATGGTTATACGGGAGGTTTCTCGGACGCTATTCAGGAAATATACAATGCGCAATGTTTTGTTCAATGCCTGTATTTTTGGCTAGTTTTATAGGCTACAGCCGTTGTTGTGACAATCACCATCATTGGGAGGACGTGATTGCAGGCGCAGTTATTGGTTTAATAACCGCATTCCAATGTTATAAAGCTTATTGTGTACCTGCTGGTGGGATTACCATGGAGGAAAGGAATGAATGATCGACTCAAGTTTGTAACGCCACTATATCAAAGATATCGTATTGGATATTGTAATTTTCTAAGTTTGAATAGTGAAACTTCAATAATTTATCATAAATAAATTTTATATATTATAACCTTCTTTCTTAACTACAAATTTAAGCATAACCCCATTTTCATAAACACTATTTCGCGTCGTGAGGTTCGAAATGAATATCGTTTAAGATAGTAATAAAGTATATTTTATTCAATCATGGTAATTAGGTCAATATATTACAAGAAATGAAAAACATTGTTGCTTGTAAGACAATTTATTTTTTACAAAAAATAAGTATGTTAAATCTTCAACAATTATCCTTATTTTCATATCTGAAAAAGCATGTTAACGGTTTCATAACTAAATGCATTTAAATACTTGGAAGACAATGAAGGAACTCTATATTATAGTTACATTGGCGCACATGTATTGCCAGTCCTGGGATTCAGTGCCGGGGAAACAAGGTTTTGGTAGACAAGAGACTGAATTAAAAGAAAGAATATGACCCCATTTCCTGCTGACTTTTTTGTAGACAACTAGCTTGTTTCGTCGGGACTCAAATCCAGAACTGTCTGACCAATGACCATAGTTGAGGCGATATATATGATCTGGTTTATAATATACGAAAAATATTTAAACTCTAATAAATTCATACATAAAATTATGTAAATATGTTTATATGTAAATAGTGTAAATATATAAACGTGTAAATTTTTACGTATCACTCCAATAGATTCACTATAGCACCAACGGAATAGATAGATATGGATGCAAGGGTTACGCAGGCACCGCAAAAAGCGATACATGTTGTGTAATTAAACTGGAAATAAACTCCCTTCCAACCTATTTATCTATTCCACGATTGAATCCAGAAAGTATTTCTAATAAGTACGTACATTTAAAGGTATTTTCGTAAAACGAATAAAAAATCTGAAACTACTTTAGCAATTAGCATAACAACTATTTTAATACAGCGAGCCGACTTTCTATATGCCAAAGATATTGGACTTATGAATCTTTTAAATATTTAAGCTATTTTTTTATATAATTAAATTGTACTGTGAATATAACCATTGAGACGAATGTATAACACGAATGATGCGTAGACGATTTAAAGTATTTTTCCATTTTACAATAATGGCTTTATTTTACTTTGAAAATATCAAAAATACATATTTTTTACTTATACGAATTATAAAGGCACAATAAATATTAGTAATCAGTAATATTAACAAATAGCGCAACGAAAAATTTACGTCGAATAATTGCAAAAAAATATTTTCATTTTAGAAGTATTTAGAGCAATATTTCCGCGAAGAACAAATAAAACTTCATGACTTTTGACATGAAGTAGTGCTAATATTGCAACTGACCACTTTTTTTAATTGGAATGTAAATTACTTAAAGATTATAAAATAGGCCCTCAATCTGGGACCTATCATAGAATTAGCGAGTATGAGTTGCCAAGAATACCGCATAATACTTAAGTTTTTTTAATCAAGATTAAAGAAAATAGAATGTAAGTGACGATATCAAGACGCCGATCCTAAAAAGTAGTAACGCCTCGTAGCTATTACGAATAGTAGTAATTAACCCGGGCTGTTGTTTACAAAATTTTAGTTGCAGTATTAATTGATTTTGGAATACTATCAACAATTCAATACATTTTTAAATTTTAATTTCATTCCGTTAATAATTGCTAAATGCTAGTCCAGACAAAATATATGGAAAAGCAATTTATATATCAAGAAAAATTAATGTATCTAAAACCACTAAACCGATTTTTATCGCATCTTCATTGAACCTGTGACCTAATCAAATTTGCAGAGATACGAAATTTAACACACGAGTTAAAAATGTTAATTATACACATATCCAACAGATCCAACACATTTTTTATGAAGTTCTAAGTTTGTATAATTCCCAACAAGTAGTCTTGATCAGGTGTTTTATTCAAGGAAATGACATTTTCGTTTTGAAATTGTTCACTCAAGAACTGTCAGGTTGTTAATAGTTTATTGACAAAATCGTTACATATTAACAAAAACAAACTTGTTGAGAATGAATACCAACTGAAATATTTGTCTACCAATAAATCTATTTTCATATTAAAACTAGACTAGCAAATTGTCATGAGGTTACGTGAAATAGAATTTTTCGCAATACCCAATAATTATAACTTGAAAATTAAATACCTCTGTAACTTAATAAATTCGTGTCTCGATCCGTTAAAAAACTTCATTTAAGTGTTATTTTTCAAGCGTTTTAATATTGAGCCTTACAAAAATATAATTGTTATATTTGACATTATGATAACAATTCTGACATTGTTATCCAAAATATTTCTAGCAGATATAAGATAATTCAACATATAGCTATGATAAAAAGTAATGAAATATTATAAAAAATTAATGATAAATTTAATGATTTTTCTACCCATATATACGGATCACAATTCATCTTTCACCTTCAAACTCTTACAGAAGTTATACATATCATCTTGAGATCTATCTCCTTCGTAAACAGACACTTCAGATGACTTGGCATACATTTTTAATGTTGGCAACGTTTTAATACCTCCAAATTCTGTCGCCTTTGGATTATCAGTCACATCAATGGCTACTATTTTTATTTTAGCATTCTCGCTTTTCAGTTTCGTTGCTAAGCGGCTAAATGACGGTTTGATCTCGTTACAGTGACCGCACCCTGAAATTGTTATACTAAAATTAATAACTATTACACTATATATAGCAAGTCAAGTCTCCCGACACTGTAAAAATGTTACCTACAAAAATGAATTTGCTAAATTTATGTTATTCTTCCAAAACCAACAAACAAAGAGCTTTAGAACGAAGTATGGCTTCCTTATATTTTTCTCGATTTTGAATAATAACGGTATTTTTTTAGGCTTTGCTCGTGATTCATTACAAAATTGAAATTTATATCGGTAGTTTAAGTTACTGTATGTATACAGTATATCTTAAAATAGTTCCAGAAAATAAACAGAAATTCTGTGACAATAATAGAGTACGTGGGAAGATAGAGGCTTCGTACAATTATGAGAAAAGATAAAAAGAATTTAATTATTTTTAATTAAGGAAAAAGTACGAGCCAAGGCTGTACTTTTCACTCAGGCTTTCATAGCTATAAGTGTGGTGATTATTATTATCGTCAGAGTTACACTCCGTGATAGCCAGACGCAGGCACTCTCTTCAACATTTTTACATTCATTTAGCATTCGCTTTATAGCAATTAATATTTACTTATTTGGTTACAGTGGTTAATATAGAGTAAAATGATGGAAAGGTACAGTACTTAAAAAAATATGGTTTCTTTTCTCTCAATCTATATATATGTATACAGAGGAAACTCTTTATAACGAATTTCAAGGCACCGTGCCTTTTTATTCCTTATAGAGACGTTTCGTTATAGGGAGGAAAGAATTAATGTATGGGTATTGGGTTAAAGCAAATACATTAAACTAACTTTTACGTTATAGAGAGGTTCACGTTATAACGGATGACGGTATACAGAGTTGACACTGTATAAATAGAATAATAGATAATACTTACACTGAGCATGATACATAACAAAACTAGGAACTGAATCTGATAGAATATCTTCAAAATTTGCATCATTTGCTTGCACCACATTTATCCCAAACCCGGTCACGGTATGACTCTTCCTGCCCTGCTCTTGCTTCTGACCATCTATTTGTGTATGTATGTGCTTTACGAAATCGTCACTCTGCAAAAACAACCACAACTAAAAAGGCGTAGTACAATTTACTATACTAGAAATGCGTGTTAAATATATAATAGGTATATTTAATTGCAAGTTTCTCATGTATTATTTAAAAAAAGTTATATATATTAAGTACAACCTGATCAGGACGATGTTTATAATCAAATAGAGGAAGGATGGAGGGAGGTGGAAAGCGAGACCCTGTCCAGGCTCCTGGTGGGGGTAATGGGGGTCTTATTAATATAAATAAAAACCATACCTTTCTCCCGCCACTATAATCTTCAACTCGCTCATAATGATTAAAGTATTTAAATGTGGGATAACCCTTCACTTTGTAATTAGCGCAAATGTCTTCCTCAACCGTACAGTCAACGGCCCCAAACAGAACCATCAGGTCATCCGCGAATGTGTCAGCGGCCTTTACGAATTCCGGTTTAGTCGATTTACAGTGACCGCACCCTGGAAATGTTTACAGCTCCTAGAATACTCATTTAGGAAATAATAAAACTACTCAATCGGAAAATGACAGTATTGGGACTTAGCTATCTATGACTCTCTAATGGCATGCTTGAAGTAAACAAGAAGCAAATTTAAATCTATATAAGTAAACAATTATCACAAATTATGTTTCTAAGCTCAAAACTCGAAGACGTCTGGACCAATTGGGAGTATTTTTTTATTCCTTGAATTTCCTCAATAGGAAGGTATGCAGTGAAATTTTTTAAGTTTTATTCCGGAAAAACTAACAAGTTCTATGGGGTTCAAGTTCTAAGCATAGCAAAATGTTGTAAAAAGGTAGGCTAAGTATAAAAATTATATTGAGGCGAAACGAAGTTCGCAGGGGCAGCTAGTAACATACAATTGCTATGAACTATGTATATATAATTGTTAAAAGTATTTAATGTTATATCAAACAATCTGTTAACCTTACACGGCGGACTAGAAAATAAATAAAATCCAATTTCGTAATTTGTATGTATAATACGCAAAATACAATTAATTTTCTTTGTTTTTTTTTATGTAATACGAGGCAAATGGGCAGGAGGCTCATTTGATGTTATGTTATACCGGACATGGACACTCACATTGCCAAAAGGCTCGCAAATGTGTTGCCGGCCTTTTCGGAATTTGTACGCTCTTTTCTTGAAGGACCCTAAGTCGAATTGGTTCGGAAATACTTCAGTGGGCAGCTGGTTTTACATAGTGGTGGTGTGCGAGAAAAACTACATTAAAAATCAGACCGTTTTAACCACGCGTCTATCTCGAACTAACACAAAGATAATATGATAGTATTTTGGCAATAGGTATGAGTTTTTATAAAATATGTCAATGGTATTTTTTTAAATATTTTATGTATAATGTAAAATGTGTATATAGTTACATGGAGCATAGAACATGACTATCGCGTGTGCCGCCTTCTTAAGCGAGCGTTTAAAGTTGTTTGATGAGAGGTGACGCACTGATGTCTCTTCTTCAGACCATGGTTTTTCTGGTGGTGTGGGGACCGGTTCTTGAGGGTTCTAAATATTTAAACAAATTTTATTTGAGAACTTTTTACTAAAAACTTCAACCTTTTTTTCCACTAATTAAAAGTCCGGCAACGCACTACCCTCCAGGCAACATGTCCATGGGCGACAGTCTCACTTAACATCGATACATGCTAAACAATTACTACAAAGACTATATGAGCCCAATAAAAATAACGAAATATGCTATATTTTTTCCAAAATATTAAAAATAATGATAATATTAAATCGTTTAAATAAAATTAAGTATATTTCAAATCACAAATAATAACATATGACTAAATAAACACCATACCTTCATAAATTCAACAATTTTGTCATCAGTGCGGAAGTTCACGTCATATTTGTATTCACCGTTATTAAAATACTTAATAGACGGATATCCCTTAACATTGAACCTAGACCCCAAACCCTTCTCTGACGTCACATCAACAACAGCGATCATACCAGCAACCTGGAAAGTGATTATAATTATCAGTACTTCTGTGTAACCCGAGTCATTATCTACTGGAACCCAAAAGAAGATATGGCCCAAACAGACCTGAAAATTGACCAATTTTACGAGCAAAGGACGCTGAAAAGACTTGGGGGTGAGAAAAACGAAAGAAGAAAAATGGACTGGACTTTACATTCTGTTCAGCAAACAATCATATAGTTTACATTCACACTTTTGGTAACGGAGCACCTGCATTGGTGCTTCCAAGCTGGAAAGACCTGGAGCAAAATTAATACTTTGTGATGTTCTCAGCCTCACCCGACATAGGACCTAAGGTATAATAGTTTTGTATATCCGTTGACATTGGGCCTTTATGGGCATACAATTGCGATTTAGGACAAGGCACGGTTTAAAATCAGCAGAACTTTCCAAATTACGTCTGCAAAAATTAACATTCAGGCAACTCTCTTTCGAATTCTTCGCTGGATATATTCAGTAGTGGGCTGATCAATTTTAAAGAAAGCATTGTTAAATGGCTATCTCATACTTTATCTTATGTTTTGCTGGTATTTTTTTTATTATTTGTAACATTTATATTTACCAAAATTGGCATATATTTTAGAAAAGATAGCTTGAAACATATACTGTAGATATAGTAGTTTTATGTATGATGTGTTAAACTTCAATAAGTAAATAAATATATTACAACGAAATAACAATTAGTGTTCTTTAAAATTGTACCTATATGTTTTACTCATAGATAAAAGTACTTAAAGTTTAAAATACTTTACAAACCTGTTGCGTCCTCAGACTTTCTTCAGCTTTAATGAGATTCGGCTTCAAGTTCTTGCAATGACCACACCAAGGTGCGTAGAACACTACCAGTGCGTTGTTGACATGTTTCAATGTCGAATCAAAGCTTTCCGCTGAAATATATAATCAATATTTACCCTGCCTCACAGTAAGCATTTTATACATCTATATTTCACATTATATTTATATATTATATATAATAATTTTAATATAAACCCAGTACACTGCTTTTGTGATAAAATATATCTCTAAATAATTTTAAAAAATATGGTTTTAACAGCACCGCTTTAATGACTCTTTTTATCACAGCGTAAACATAATTTGACAGATAGAGACATAAGACTATTTTAAATTTGGCTAGAACATTGGGTTTCATGCTTTTACATTAATTATTACATGCGCATAAGCTAGAATAATCTACGTCATTTCAAAGCTAAATAATGGATAATGTTACTATGAATTATAATACTATAATTGCATCAGAATAAAATATTACAGGTGCACATACATTTCACTTGTATACTAAAATGATAATAATAATTATAGGCTTTTATTTCAGATACTTTTACATTTAAACATTTATTTCTATCATCTCATTATTTTTAAATATTTGTGTGCTCTTGTCTGTCAAGGGTCTCCTCCAAATCCATTTCTGCCTGAACTTTGCCACTCTTTTCCATGCACCTGCTGTTTTCTTCTTCCTCTTTTGCGTTTATCGTAACTTGGGCACTGGTACTTTCTTGCACCACATTTCTGTTTCTCTTGCCATGCCCATTTCCATTTAAGTTTATTTTTATTGTAACATCTGCTACCTCAACTCTTCTTAATGGTGTATTCTTTATTTTAACTATTCTTAATTAATTATATTTTGTTATTGTATTTTGACTTACGGAAATCATTCTATTCTATATATACTTTGGGTATACGCTAATATCGTAAACATTATAAGTTGGATGGCAACAACCAACACGTCTATAGCAAATCTTTTTTACATAACTACAAGCTAGTTAATATTAAAATACCTAAATAATACCGTATTCGCTTTAGCATCGTTTAAATAATAGCAGTCTTTAGCCAGCAAGAATAATTGACGTAATGACAGACATGGGATGAAGAATAAAGAATATTAATAAATGAGGTCTTATTAATAAAAAAAAGTGAACACGACACAGATTACATTAGTATAGATTAATTACATTAAATACTTTTTAGTACGCATATCAAATGAATATTTTTTTTAAGAAGTCTCATTTGAAGGGCGACCGTTACTGCATTAAACATTTTTATTAGAATAAATCCGTATTATTAAAAAAATATATACTGTCCTTTTTTTCTTTGGCACATATATTTTCACCCACATCTTAATTTAAAAATACCCAATCAGATCTTAAACTATTTCACAATTATACATTATGATAGTGTGAATTAAAAAAATGTGTTTAAATTACCTGTCAAGTGTAGTAGATCGGTATCCAAGTCCCAGGATTTTGGCGTTTCTTTCTTCATCTCCTGTACACTACTCGGGTCTCGAATGAACCTCACTAACGCATCGCGCTTGTTTTCCCCATTGTACACCATACGATAATTGCCTTTTCTGTAATTTTTTAAAAGCCAATATACTGTCTATATTCTAATTCATATTACAATCTTGTCTTGCAAGGTGTCAAACATGTCAAACTTCGTACAAAAGAAATAGTTTGACAGCAAGAGCTGTCGTCAGAAGAAGTCGGTGGAAGTGGTCACGTGACCAAATCGTACCTATTCGGACTGCGAACATGGCTCACTACCGATAAATACTTTTATAGACCTCCGAATCACCATGTGATTATTTAAAGAAAGAAACAAACATAAAGTAAAGAAGGAAAGAAAGATTTACTTGTCTATTACACTGTGAGAAGAATAAAAGAAAGTCTTGTACATTTGTCGCAAAATACAGGATATCATTATAAACCAGAATGCACACAACACACGTTTAAAAAGGAATAAAAGAAAATAAACACAAAAATAAAGATCGGTAACACTACAAAAAAATACATATATATTTAATTAAATTATACCCGAGTCTATATAGTAATATGACTAACAAAACTTAGTCCCCAGCTGTATCAATAAAATAAACAATGTTTAGGATAACTACACTAGTTTACTAATAACTATTTGAATTGTTTCTATATAGAATATCAATTTAGTCTGTGGCCAGGCCGTAGGAAGGGTTCATGACCCCCATGACCCCACTCTGGATCAGCCCCATCTAAAGCGACAAGTTGCACACTAATAAGTACAAATCAAGCTAAAATTATAAAATGCAATACTTACACAAAGTATAACAAAGTGGGGAATCCTGTAATGTTGTATTCATAACGAAGTTTTGAATTCTGAGGTTTAGATACATCAATTGCTGCCAGCATTGCTTCGCCCTGTAAATAAATATGAATGAATTTCATTTGTAACTATTTCTAAAAAAAATTGTATTTTCAGTTTTCACCATCAAAACAGAAGCCAAGACTCTTATATTTTTTTCCGTAAAACTACTAAAAATTATTTTTTCATTCCTTAATATGCACAACAAAATTTAACATACGAAAATTATTAAAAAAATATCAAAAACAGTGAACATTATCAGGAAATCACCATGTCTTGATCAAACAATTGATAACATGTGTCAAGCACTGATGGATGATAATCTATAGACACATTCTCTTATTGTATAATACAATGTCAATGCCAAGACCCATAAGCAGTTGTAGTGCTACTGGATCATTATTATGACCGCCTACTAAATCTTTTGACTATATATTAAACAACCATTTTACCTTTAAGTCTAAAGCTGCATCGGAATATTCAGGTTTCAATATTTTACAATACCCACACCAAGGAGCATAAAACATAATTATTGACTTCATTGAGGTTGCTGCACACTTTTTGAGAAAGCTAGATAGAGCCTGAAATAGAAATATATATTATAAAGTTCATACATTGGTTTCTATGTTACAAGTTACAATCACATAAAAGAGTTAAATATTAGCATCTATCTCACAAATATATAAAAATATGCTTAGTATTTGTGTATATTTCTGGAAGAAAAACTATTCTACCAAATCAAATCAAAATTTCTTCATATTAAAGAACTATTGAAGGTTTTAAATTCCTCTTTAGTTCATTTATTTCCAGTTCCCAAATCAAGGGTATAGAGGAGAGTAGAAGAGCTGGCAAGAAACTCTCTGTATTCATGTTCATTGCAAAGACAATTAGAAAATTAGAGTAAAAGAAAAGCATCCAATACTCTCTAACCTCATTTAGTACTTCATAGTGTAATAGACAAGTCTTGTGGTGGTAACAATCAGTATTTTGTTTCAATATTCTTTAATAATGAAACTGATATCCGTCAAATGGGTATTTCAGATTCACTTCAAACAACATTCCAAGTTTCAAAAAAGAAGATTTTTTTAATACTAAGCTTTTAAAGTAAATTTAAAATTAAATTTTAATTACTTACAATGTTATGTTAATAAACTAGTATTTTGTGCTTACCATAGAATCAGCTAAATGATAAATATGATTAGCAGAAGGATCTTCGTCCCATGGTGCATCTCCAGTTGGATCCAATAAAAAATTTGACTATAGAATTCACTGTTTCTGCTCTTTCATAATCCTTATTGAATTCCCCATCTTTAAAGTGCTTTATGAAGTAAGGACTGCTTTTTTCAACTTTCAATTTTTTGCAAAGCTTTTTTCCTTCACTGTTAACATATTTAATTGTTTTTTACTTTTATATGTAGGGTTTGTTTATGGGTATCTATAGCAAATTCTACTTTTAGTTTTTTTTTTTTAATTTGTGATAATTTAGTGAAAGTTTAACAATACATTATCATTCCATCTGTTTAACTTACCTTCCAGCACAATTAATTGACACCAGTGTAGCCTGCCCTTTCATTTTATCTGCTACTTCTCGGAATGTCTTTAAAATAGGCATAGCCTCTTTTTGAATATTTATGTATAAAACTAAAACATTAGTTTTTGTCTTCATTAATTTTTTAAACTCTTTAAGGTCTTCAACCTGAGTTATTGATGTGTGTTTCTTTGCTTGAGTTGAATTTTGTATGCATACTAACAATATTAATAGCTGAAATAATAATTTTTATTTAAAACTATTAGAGACCAATTAAAAAAAGTTTTTGTCAAGTTATTTTCCATTAAAGCAATTGAGCGTTATTTTATCTATTTTGAATTATCTGCCTATACGCAAGTATTGACAACGTGGGAGCATCAGATTTAATTTAAAGTCCTTTCCACAGTCTTTCACATTATGTTGTATTGTGCAATTTGTTTGTATTGTTTTCTATAGTAAGAACTTCAAGAAATAAGATCATAAAAACATCATGCTTTGTTAAGATATCGCAGTAACTTAAACACATTACAGCATACTACTTAATAGTTAATTTTTGTATCAAGAGTTTGAACTACTTAAACTTACCAAACACTCGGCAAAAGCTAAACGGCGCATTTTTTTGTATATGTATTAACACAGCTGAACACAAGTTTATACTTTATACGGTTCGTTTACAAAAACTTTAATCTTATTTTAAAGCAAAAGCGTAAAACTGTTGTAACAAATTCAAAAATACCTAGAAAAATACCGAATAATCGCGATTCGCGACTACTAACTTGAAAGTTGAAACTTCACCGGTCACCCAGTCCACAGACTCACTACTGACCAAGTCGCAACAATAGATATACCAATCATACCATATTTATATTAAGAATAAGCACAGAAACTGAGAATAATTAAGAGTAAACACCTAGCTATATATTATATATACCTTAACGTTACAATATTACTAATCAATGACATGGCAGATTTGGCCGCGCATCACCACTATGTGGAACCTGCTGCCCACCGAAATATTACTCAACCAATTCGACTCCTTGGTTCCTTCCAATAATAGAGTGTACTAATTCTTAAACGGCCGATAACGCACTTGCGATCCTACTGGAAATGTGATTGTCTATGGCCAGCGGTATCACTTAACATCAGGTGAGCCTCCTGTTCGCTTTCCCCGTGTTATATAAAAAAATGAAACATTTAATTCACCAGTTTTTCGTGGTGGTCGTAAATCTATTTGACAAATGTTGATGGTTGATACTTTCAACTTTATTAAAACCATAATATTGTGTGTTTTACACCATTTTGTTAAAATTACGAAGTGTAAGGATTTACTGACTACAAGTCGTCGGAAATATCTGCGAACCTGGCTTAATGACGTCATACAAACTGGAGAGATAGCAAAAAAATTGAAGATGTAAAAATAAAAAATATTTTATTTGTGTACTTATTTTTATTGATACTCGTACCTACCCATCTTACATACAGCACTAAATAGGTAGTTTATGTAATATTTCACCAAACAGAGAAACAATAAACACTAAAATGCGATTACGAAAGCAAGAATAATACACGTGCGGCGTCGGCGATTGCGTTGGCAACGGTACTGGATAGGCGAAAACGGGGCGGGGTGCGGGGGGCGCCAGGGGAAGCGCATTCCAGCGAGGTTCGCAGATATTTCCGACGGCTTGTACTTAGTCTTAATGACCGAAGACGACAGATGTTAAGTAAAAACAGCTTTTATTACACTTATAGATTAAGGCAGGTGATTTGTTTAACTCAAAAGCAATACAGAACTAACCACTCTCACGTACGGGCCGCGCGACTGTTTTCACGTCAACCGTACAGCTACTCGCGCGTCTTTGACCCGCGCGCAAAAACCATTATATCTGTTGAAATATAACAACTACAACTATGAAAAAAATACTACAGCATAGGTTGAAGTATATAGATTAAAACACATTTGGTAATAATTGGATAATGTTACTAAATTAGTACTTAAAACGGGATAAAACATTTGAGTCTGAGCAAAAATACTTAAATTTTTTATAGATTTAGGCCTTACGCAAAAAATATAAACGATTTCGAATTAAGAATAATTTTACAAAAAACTAGACTAATTATCCTTTCAAAAGATGCCAAGATGTTTATATTTAATCAACATTGAGTAAGCTAATAAATCAAATCAAAACAACCACTTCTCGTAATTTTACCATAGCCTCTTGAGTCGCGCGCTATGACTTTTTTTGTGCCATGATGGCCGCCTGTCTAAGGTCTCCCACACACCATGTAGTTTTTTAACTAACTAAAAAATAGGGTATGTTCGATTTGTTTCAATCGTTTCTTTTTAAATTAAAAACAGAATAACAGTGTTGTAAATTTTAATGAGACAGTTTTGATAAGATTTCGAGTTGTAAATGATAATCCACCGTTTCTCCATGCGTAACAAAAAATTGCAAACATATTTTTTCGTTTCTACAAACCCTTATTTATGACGTTTGTTCTAACGTCCGTGGATACCGCACTGTCCATAACGATAAACCTGTGGAACACCTCAATATTATTTGGGAATCTTAAATCATCTTAATGTATTTCTATTTGGAAAAGGCATGAATATGCTTATGAAGGACTCTACATTCATTTTTAACTATTAATTCACTAAACAGACGTAAACAAATCATCAAAATCAGCCAACAACTTCTAAGAAGCCATTTTGCCCTTGACAAAAATATTTTAAAGTTGAAATTAAACTCAATTTAGCATTAAAAACTATATCATCTTATCATAACCGTAAAGTACAAAATATATTCAAGTTTATTTTGATGTATGATAATTAAAGAAATATAATATAAAACTAAAGTACTTGCGACATAATTGCTGAAACTCCGAAACACTTGTTCCCAAAATTCACAAGAACGAGTCAATTGAGTTTGGATTTTTTTTTAATTCAATTGAAAGTTTTTTTTGTGTATTAATTATAAAAAAATGGGTTAAATTGAGGTAACCCTGAAATCTACACAAATTTATATGTCATCTGTCAGAATATTCCACGAATGATGACATAAAGGAAAATGCCAATTGTCAATCAATATGTAGATTATAGTCCACCTCTACTGTCTTATGTCTAGCTAGTGGCTATTTAGTCCTTTCAAACTTAGCAGTAGCTCTTTGCCTTTCCTCACTTGTAAAATCAGTATTTTTTAAATGAAAAATATCATTGTAATAAGTATAAATCTATAAAGAACTGTTATAACTTTATTAGGAACCTGGTGGAAGTGGTTGCTAACCAATTTTATTGGCAATTCTTCATTAATACGGGAAAAAACCTAAATTAAAAGATGCCACCTGTAAGTTAATATTATAAATTTTATTACTTCTTGCATATACTTATTGCATAACAGATGTGACTTTATTATTTTGTTGTTTGGTATATATTATATACTTAATTCAGGATTTGACTATATCGAATATCTAATATAGCGCTTATAACATTCACATGCGCATCGCCATTATTGCCCAGTTTTCCGGGAATGCTATATTGATTTTCAGTTAAGCGTTGCTATGTTATTATACTACCTATTCATTCGATGTATGACCTTGAACCTTTACCTTTGTTTTGTTTTCAGCCACCAAAAAAAGCTCCTACAAAAGGAGCCAAGCAAATATTGGTGGAAAATGAAGCTACAATCAGCTTCTATAGGAACATGGCAGGAGCTTCTGGGTTATTCTACAACTCTGTTATGTTTGGAATTTACCATGATGAAGTCCGATCCTGGTTAATGGTAATAAATTGGTATTTAAAATTCAAATTATTTTTTTTTATATAATTTATTTAAAAAAAACTACTACTAACTTGAAAGTTGAAACTTCACCGGTCACCCAGTCCACAGACTCACTACTGACCAAGTCGCAACAATAGATATACCAATCATACCATATTTATATTAAGAATAAGCACAGAAACTGAGAATAATTAAGAGTAAACACCTAGCTATATATTATATATACCTTAACGTTACAATATTACCTACTAATCAATGACATGGCAGATTTGGCCGCGCATCACCACTATGTGGAACCTGCTGCCCACCGAAATATTTCTGAACCAATTCGACTCCTTGGTTCCTTCCAATAATAGAGTGTACTAATTCTTAAACGGCCGATAACGCACTTGCGATCCTACTGGAAATGTGATTGTCCATGGCCAGCGGTATCACTTAACATCAGGTGAGCCTCCTGTTCGCTTTCCCCGTGTTATATAAAAAAATGAAACATTTAATTCACCAGTTTTTCGTGGTGGTCGTAAATCTATTTGACAAATGTTGGTGGTTGATACTTTCAACTTTATTAAAACCATAATATTGTGTGTTTTACACCATTTTGTTAAAATTACGAAGTGTAAGGATTTACTGACTACAAGTCGTCGGAAATATCTGCGAACCTGGCTTAATGACGTCATACAAACTGGAGAGATAGCAAAAAAATTGAAGATGTAAAAATAAAAAATATTTTATTTGTGTACTTATTTTTATTGATACTCGTACCTACCCATCTTACATACAGCACTAAATAGGTAGTTTATGTAATATTTCACCAAACAGAGAAACAATAAACACTAAAATGCGATTACGAAAGCAAGAATAATACACGTGCGGCGTCGGCGATTGCGTTGGCAACGGTACTGGATAGGCGAAAACGGGGCGGGGTGCGGGGGCGCCAGGGGAAGCGCATTCCAGCGAGGTTCGCAGATATTTCCGACGGCTTGTACTTAGTCTTAATGACCGAAGACGACAGATGTTAAGTAAAAACAGCTTTTATTACACTTATAGATTAAGGCAGGTGATTTGTTTAACTCAAAAGCAATACAGAACTAACCACTCTCACGTACGGGCCGCGCGACTGTTTTCACGTCAACCGTACAGCTACTCGCGCGTCTTTGACCCGCGCGCAAAAACCATTATATCTGTTGAAATATAACAACTACAACTATGAAAAAAATACTACAGCATAGGTTGAAGTATATAGATTAAAACACATTTGGTAATAATTGGATAATGTTACTAAATTAGTACTTAAAACGGGATAAAACATTTGAGTCTGAGCAAAAATACTTAAATTTTTTATAGATTTAGGCCTTACGCAAAAAATATAAACGATTTCGAATTAAGAATAATTTTACAAAAAACTAGACTAATTATCCTTTCAAAAGATGCCAAGATGTTTATATTTAATCAACATTGAGTAAGCTAATAAATCAAATCAAAACAACCACTTCTCGTAATTTTACCATAGCCTCTTGAGTCGCGCGCTATGACTTTTTTGTGCCATGATGGCCGCCTGTCTAAGGTCTCCCACACACCATGTAGTTTTTTTAACTAACTACAAAATAGGGTATGTTCGATTTGTTTCAATCGTTTCTTTTTTAAATTAAAAACAGAATAACAGTGTTGTAAATTTTAATGAGACAGTTTTGATAAGATTTCGAGTTGTAAATGATAATCCACCGTTTCTCCATGCGTAACAAAAAATTGCAAACATATTTTTTCGTTTCTACAAACCCTTATTTATGACGTTTGTTCTAACGTCCGTGGATACCGCACTGTCCATAACGATAAACCTGTGGAACACCTCAATATTATTTGGGAATCTTAAATCATCTTAATGTATTTCTATTTGGAAAAGGCATGAATATGCTTATGAAGGACTCTACATTCATTTTTAACTATTAATTCACTAAACAGACGTAAACAAATCATCAAAATCAGCCAACAACTTCTAAGAAGCCATTTTGCCCTTGACAAAAATATTTTAAAGTTGAAATTAAACTCAATTTAGCATTAAAAACTATATCATCTTATCATAACCGTAAAGTACAAAATATATTCAAGTTTATTTTGATGTATGATAATTAAAGAAATATAATATAAAACTAAAGTACTTGCGACATAATTGCTGAAACTCCGAAACACTTGTTCCCAAAATTCACAAGAACGAGTCAATTGAGTTTGGATTTTTTTTTAATTCAATTAAAAGTTTTTTTTTGTGTATTAATTATAAAAAAAATGGGTTAAATTGAGGTAACCCTGAAATCTACACAAATTTATATGTCATCTGTCAGAATATTCCACGAATGATGACATAAAGGAAAATGCCAATTGTCAATCAATATATAGATTATAGTCCACCTCTACTGTCTTATGTCTAGCTAGTGGCTATTTAGTCCTTTCAAACTTAGCAGTAGCTCTTTGCCTTTCCTCACTTGTAAAATCAGTATTTTTTAAATGAAAAATATCATTGTAATAAGTATAAATCTATAAAGAACTGTTATAACTTTATTAGGAACCTGGTGGAAGTGGTTGCTAACCAATTTTATTGGCAATTCTTCATTAATACGGGAAAAAACCTAAATTAAAAGATGCCACCTGTAAGTTAATATTATAAATTTTATTACTTATTGCATATACTTATTGCATAACAGATGTGACTTTATTATTTTGTTGTTTGGTATATATTATATACTGAATTCAGGATTTGACTATATCGAATATCTAATATAGCGCTTATAACATTCACATGCGCATCGCCATTATTGCCCAGTTTTCCGGGAATGCTATATTGATTTTCAGTTAAGCGTTGCTATGTTATTATACTACCTATTCATTCGATGTATGACCTTTTTACCTTTGTTCTGTTTTCAGCCACCAAAAAAAGCTCCTACAAAAGGAGCCAAGCAAATATTGGTGGAAAATGAAGCTACAATCAGCTTCTATAGGAACATGGCAGGGGCTTCTGGGTTATTCTACAACTCTGTTATGTTTGGAATTTACCATGATGAAGTCCGATCCTGGTTAATGGTAATAAATTGGTATTTAAAATTCAAATAATTTTTTTTTATATAATTTATTTAAAAAAAATGTAACATTCTAATGATAGTATTCATGTCACAACTTGATTAAGTTAAGGCATATAACATAATTCGTGAACCTAAAGTGCGTTGGTTCGCGGACAGCTTTGTTCTCTACAACATCAGAAGACTTAAAAAAAATTATAAACAAACTGGCGTTACAAAGCAAGCAGGTAAGACTAAAACTTTATCCGGATATAACATTTATTTCGTTAAAATAGTTATGACAAATGGAATGGAGAACACCATTAACCTAGGAAACACCCAGATCTAATATACCAATGAATACATTTACCTTAGACATTTAATGACACAAAAAGATCCTATAATCGAGAAGATCGAGAAGAATAACAAATTGCTGGAAAATGTACTGTTGCTTGAGAGAGGCCATGAAAGATGAAAAGCTACATACAAATATAAAAACCAAATTATTAACACCTGCATTCTACCTGTCCTTATATTATTGTATGCTAGCTAAACATGGGCTTTAACACAAACTCACAGCCTGCCAACGCGAAATGGAAAGGAGTATGCTTAAAGTTAAAAAATCAGACATATTGAAAACCAGGTCATAAGAGACAAGACAAAAGTCATAGACTCCAAAATGAGAAGACTTAAATGTTGATAGGCTGGTCACATGATAAGAGAAAAAGACAAATGTAGTAAAATTGTGACAATGGTACCCTAGGGAAGGAGTAAAGGAAGACCACAAAAAAGATGAAAAGACGACATCAGACAAGTGGCAGGAGTGATGCGGAACAGAGTGGCCCAAGAAAGACATGAATAGGAAAGGTTGGAGAATGCTTTGCCAACTGGGAAACAGATCTGCAGTAATCAATACCTAATACCTAGTTTAATATAATGGAGATGTTTATGTGTGTACCTAAGTCAATCTGAATAAAAGGCTATATTATTATATGTAACCTAATTGTCTTATGTAAAACTCCCAGAACAAAACATTATTATTATTGTGTTTGTGCCTGCCTGCCAACAGAAAACTTGGATTGGACTTGAAACAATTTTCACTATTGTTATTATAGCTATAATATATAAAAATAGGAAGGATGTTAGTATTATAATAAAATTTATATTTCCTTTATCTTCATTACAGTTCATGAATGTGTTTGTGTTGGCTATTTACCTTGGGTGCTACCAATTGATGAGATACATAAGTCGGCCAACATATTCTGAACTTGGACTTCTTATTGACCCAGGCCTGGATCTAAACATGGAAGGTGGAATGGGCGAGTAAGTGTTATTTTCTTTCTTCTTTTACGTTGAGAGTTCTGTTTCTCTTTATTTACTGAAATTATGTTGTAAATATAGAGTGCACTTATATGTACAAAGTTTAGATACATGTGCTCTTAAAAGTCATGCCTTTGTGTCAAGTCAATATGTGATTGATTAGGCATAGTACTGGGGTGGAGGAAACAATCCAATTTGCTTGTGTATCGAGTCCTCTTAACAAGTGCAACCGTTTTTTTGGAAGGCTTACTATAGCAACAATAAAAAAATCTTCGTCTTCTTTTAGGCATATCAAAGACATAGTAATTCTAACAGCAATAGCACACATCACAGCAGTGATGTCCAATTACTTCTGGCTCCTATTGTTTCTCATACCTGCTCGTGCATTTTGGCTTATATGGAAGAATTTGTTAGCTCCATGGTTGTTCCAAGAGGCACCTGAAGACACAGAGCAAGATGAAAAGAAAAGGAAAAAAATTGAGCGCAGGATGAGGCGCCATCAGTAAATATAAGAACTTCTATTCTCAAAATAAATTATGTCGTAGATTGAAATATTTTGATTATCTACATCTATCTATGTTAATTAGTCTGGAACACGGTTTGAAATCATTATTGTAATTTACTTGGTCAATACCAAAATGCATGTCATGTCAATTAAGGTGAACATAAAATTTTGCAAAAAACTAATTTACTCTTAAAATCTTTATAATTAATTTACTGATCCATTCGAACAGTATATTAAAAATATCAAGTAATTATGTTCTAAAATTAATGCAATGCTTTGAATAAACGTGGACTCTAAAATTTCTTAGAATATTCTCACTTCTAATCATTCTTTTGGTTGTTTTTGGCGTTTAAATGAAAGTGAAGGATAAAATACACATTACTTACCTTTAAAGTCCAACTAACATGGTAAAATAGGCCATGTATGTTTTATAAATTTAATAAATTAGACTTTCCTATTAAGGTGCTAAAAACATTGGATTAAATTCATTCTATCAAAAAATTAGGCAGTTTTGGGTCAAGGTCAAGTAACTTTACAGATTTATGAAAGTTCAATGGTTCCATTTTTATATCTTCAAACCCTTTTTATATTTGTAGTCTTGGTGTTGTCATATTTCTTAATCTTTTTTACTAGGTGTTCTTAAACATAACATAAATGTAATAGTTGTAGTTGAACTATATGGTGTAATTAATATTATTATTATTTTTTAATTTGTAGATTATGGTATATTAAGAAAATTGGTTAAATATTATTTAGTTTATTTTTATTTAAGCTTTAAATTTATAAAGTTTACGGCTAAAATGTATTACAGATAAATGTTTTTAATGCTCTGGATGTATTTTAAGTAATGTAATCATCAATATATTGGATGTTTGTGAAATCATAATGTATATCAATTATATTAAATAAATTCTGACGGTCATATCTTTTTTTTTCACCGGCTCTAGGTCTCTGAAACTTCCAATACAGATGCAGATCCCTTTTTAAAAAAAGCTATATCGATCTCTCAAATTCTTATCATTGAATTATTGTTAGGTTAGGTTATCTACCAAGGTAGGTATTTTTTTCACTGTAGAGAGTGAAAAGATTTTATGCACACTTTTTTATTCTCCTGAAAGATCGAGATCCCATTTTCACACATTTTATTAAAACTTACTAGACACCTTGACATGAAATAGCTAAATATGGTTGGATCTTACATCATTTAGAGGACCATCCCACCGACTAAGTGTCTCACTCTAAAATTCTGAAGGCATATATATTAGGTCCTTACATATGAAATTGGCGTTTTACGTTTTGGCCACTTTGACCTCAAATATCTCCTCTTTGGTTAAGAATTCCTAATTAAAATTTGTACAGCTATTTACTCATGTATTTGTGCTTCGATGACCGTCATTCATTTGTTTTTTTTTCTGTTTGCGTCACTCATTTTACAAAATGGAAAACTTAAAGTATCTCATTATTTACGAGTACGAGTTCCGCCGTGGCACTAGTGCTGCGGAAACGACTCGAAGGGTGAATGATGTGTATGGCGGTCATGTTGCAAAAGAAAACACAGTTCGTTTTTGGTTCCAACGTTTTCGTTCTGGAAATTTCGACCTGCAGAACAAGCCCCGTGGACGGCCTGAGACCCAAGTTGATAATGAAGTATTGAAGGCTATTGTGGAAGCGGATTCATCGCAAACCACGTCCGAGTTAGCTGCAGGCTGTGGTGTTAGTGATAAAACTGTTTTAATTCACTTGAAGCAAATTGGGAAGATTAAAAAGCTTGAAAGATGGGTACCTCACGAATTGACTGAAGCAAACCGGCAAACGCGCGTCGACTGCTGCGTTACATTACTGAACCGGCACAATAATGAAGGTATTTTAAACCGAATCATTACCTGTGATGAAAAATGGATTCTTTACGATAATCGAAAGCGCTCAGCGCAATGGTTGGTTGGTTGGAGCCTCACCAGCCAGCCAAATCCTGCCCCAAGCGAAAATTAACCCCAAAAAAGTTACTTGTAAGCGTTTGGTGGACTAGTGCCGGTATTGTTCATTGCAGTTTTCTCAAATCTGGCCAGACTATTACGGCTAATGTCTATTGTCAGCAATTGCAAACCATGATGGAAAAGCTAGCGGCTAAACAACCTAGGCTGGTCAATCGCTCCACGCCACTGCTACTTCACGACAACGCTAGACACTGCACAACAGACGGCTACCAAATTAGAAGAGCTTCAATTGGAATGTCTACATCCTCCGTACTCCCCGGACCTTGCTCCAATAGATTACCATTTTTTTTCGAAATTTGGACAACTTCTTGCAAGGGATCTTAACTCTGATGGAGCAGTCCAAATCGCCTTCACAGATTTTATTGATTCCCGTCCGACTGGTTTTTTTTAGTAAAGGGATCAATGAACTACCTATGAGATGGCAAAAGTGCATAGAAAACAATGGTTCATACTTTGATTAATTAAATATATTATATTTAAAAATATTCGACTTTTTGTTCCTCCCATACAAAACGCCAATTTCATATGTAAGGACCTAATATATACAGGGTGGCCAAAAAGTCGTGGATCAAACGCAAATAGGGGATAGATGAGTTCATCAGCTGCAAAATCTTATTAAAATTCGAAAAATCTACATCCTGTATCTTTTTCATAATATCCACTAGATTGGTACTGATAAGTTCTTGCGTTAGACACACTATTTATAGTTGTTTATTGAGTGTATTGAAGATAATATCAAGTTATACGATATATTTTTTTTTCAAATCATAACTTTTTGTTTACTTCGGACCCCACGGTGATAAAAAAAATACTCTACCGAAAAGTGACCCTGTATTACAAGTTTTGGCGCATTTCATAGGGATTCTGAAAATTAGTTTTCATAAGTAATTAATTTCCCTAATTCGTAGTCGTAACTTTATGCTTTTAATCACTTATTTTCTCTGCTTTGGAACATATTTAACCCTATGTCATTGATATGATAGAAAAGTACAGTTTTTGCTTGTTACTGATAAAAGCCATTAATCATCTCATCAAGAAACCGTTCAATCTTCCCCCCCACTCACCATATAGATATACACATATAAATAAATATATATATATATATATATATATAAATAAAATAAATAAATCAGTGGCGCTACAACCTATTTAGGTTGATGCGCCTAGTTGCCTCAGATTTCTGAATCTGTTTCATGATCATTTTTAAATCTAATACTTGCCGTAGGTGATCAGCCTCCAGTGCCTGATATCCGCCGTCGACTTTTTGGGTCTAAGACATGTCGGTTTTCGCACGATGTTTTCCTTCACCGTTCGAGCAAATGTTAAATGCGCACATAGAAAGAAAGTCCATTGATGCACAGCCGGGGATCGAGCCTACGACCTCAGGTATGAGAGTCGCACGCTGAAGTCACTAGGCCAACACTGCTCCTATATATATATTATAATTGCAATATAATTTATAGACTGAATATTAACTATATCAAATTACATCAAAAGATTATACATTAATATACCTACTAAGTTTATAAATAAGGCTAGATAAAGACAATAATTCAACTAAAAAGGTAATTTTTATTTTTTTTGTTGAAATATACCTAGTAGAAATCTGATAAGTTTTAATCTTTGAACGTCGGATTCATTCTGAAAACTACTAAGTGGTCAAAAATCTAGACACCGAGGGTTTATTTTTGGAACTTCACGACTTGGAACCACCAACCCCTTTCAAAGGCTGATACTCTCGGCTGGAAGTACTGGAGTTTCACCCTTTCGTTGTTAAAATCCTTGACAACGTTTCGTGTTTAAACAACGAGTCGAAAAGTGAACAAGAGTGGTTCGCTGCCTCCTTAAATCTCCTATAGAGAGTATCACAACTCTACAAATGTAAATAAATAATAAAATGATTGGGATTTGGCCATCAATAAAAAAAGTGCGTGCGTACAAAGTACACATGTCAGAAGTGAAACTTTTTTAAAACCAATTTTTAACTCTTATTCATATTTATACAAATCTAAAACTTTAGATTTCCGAGACTTGGAGGGAAAAAAGGAAGATATGTTAGGAATTGAATGAATTTAATTGTCATTAAAATATAAAGTGTCGAAAATTAATACAAATAACTTTTTTTTTTAAATTTATTTCTTCTATAAAAACACGTGGAATTTAAATTTACACTTCGTCATTTAAGATTTCAATAAATTATTTTGCTCAAAATATTAAATACAAATTTTTCATAAATTCTCTTTACGAAATTTTAATTTTAAAAATAGAATTTCTATAAGGTAATTCACCCTTCTCACTCTCTCTCTCAATCAGTCTCAATCGCTCTCTCCCTTTCGACAAAGACGCTGCACATCTTCGGGACGTTCCGTAAAAATTTGACTCTCATGCGCCTAAAGAAGTTTCACTTTAATAATATTGGGCAACAACATAAGAAGTTAAGCCGGGGTAGAATAGTATAAAACAGACAATCTAAAATTGACAATAATGAACGGACCAACATGGCGACATCTGGAGGAGGCCTTTGTCGACACAGCTGGTTAGTATTACATAGTAGAAACTAATGTATAAAGAATGAAAAAAATATACTCTAGAGTCTACAGTAATAAAAGCTTATTTTAATTTTTATAAAAATGCTAGCAGAGATCGAGCACACCCACCACCCGAAGGGTCCTCTGGGTTACGGACAGGTCTAATAGAGTTTAAAAAATCATAATCTTAATTTAAGTATGGAAATCCTGGTGATACATATGTCTAAACAACAAAGATTATGACGGTATCTTTAGAAATGTCACAAGGAAGCGGCATAATATAAGCCGAAGAAAATACATCTCAAACAAATAAACTTAGCAAACTCCGGCATCTGTTCTGAAAATTTCATGAACTGCTACCTCTAATTGGCTTTCCAACTCTTCCTCAACTTAACCGTTGCAGCTTAAAAACTTATCTTACATCTATATTATTAACGAATTAAGCATTGTCAATTATACTATAGGTATAAATCTTGAAA